TCTCTCTCTCTCTCTCTCTCTCTCTCTCTCTCTCTCTCTCTCTCTCTCTGATGAACTGGACTGACTCAGTCCACTGAGTCAGTCCAGTTCAATTATCATTAACAAGCAACCTTGGGAAACATTTTTCAAGTACTGCTATGATAAGTACACCTATTGTGACTTCAACTAGAATGCTGAAAGGGAACAGTCCAATATAGTCTCCAACTGATCCATAAATAGTTGACATGAGGTTGTTGGCCCTGCAACAAAATCTGTTAACTGTGGTACTGAACCAACCGAGCTGAGGATTGTCCCTGATCTGGACTGATTCTGATGCATGAACATTGTTAACAGTTCTGTTAACACCTGGGTTAACGCTTGTCCCTTCTGGGTTGATGTTTGTCCCTTCTGGGTCACAATAATCCTGTCTCATAAAAAAACTGTAAAAACGCCAGAGCAAAAATGTCATCTTGATAAACTAAGTGTTTTTTTTAAACACACAGTTTAATATATGCTGTCTGCTTGACAATAAGCTAACCAGTGTTTGTCCCAGAAGGAAWCTGGAAATGTCATAGAAGCTGACGTCATAAATTAGAGACTTTTGAGGCTGACGTCATAGATGGAACGTGTTCGAACAGGGAACAGAACAGGTGCGCACTTCGCACTTCTTTCTTTCTTTCTTTCTTTCTTTCTTTCTTTCTTTCTTTCTTTCTTTCTTTCTTTCTTTCTTTCTTTCTTTCTTTCTTTCTTTTTCATTCTTAAAAAAACATTTTTATCAGATTTTGTTTTTGTATTTGTTGTACAAAACCAATACCAAGCCGTGACTCAGATCTTTATACACCCATAGGAAATAATGGTTCATTGCTAAATTAGCACTGGTGTTTTATGTGATATTTTTTCATAACTATTTGGTTATAACATTTTTAAGACTTGAGTTACTACAAGATGACAGCAAAGCGCTATCTACAACAGGTAAGATATTATTTGTTTACAACTCTTCCACAGAACCCCACTTCAAAAAAATCTGACCACTTTAGAAAAGTCCTTAAAAAACTTGTAAACTGCCCAACAAACAACACAACATATATTTCTTTAGTTTTGATCATCCTGAATGGCTAACATGTGGCAGGTGTTCTTACATATTGTATTTATCTCACACATCTACAGCACATCACCACTCTGATAGTGAAACTGGAGAATGGCTGCAGTTCCGCCTGTGTCCTCAAATGGAGTGTCTGGCGATCGACCAACCCTGTATCAGGGGTTCAACGGCTCTTTAGTGGAGAAATTTGATGCAGTCAACTCATCAATTCAGAGATTACTGGGTCTTGTTTGCCCAAACGCCCCTATGGGAAAGGAATCTCCAATCCATTAACCAAGAAGGGATCGAGTGCCCCTCGTGAATTTCCTCATTTGTTTAGTTATTCAAAGTCAGATTCAATTAAATAGATTAAACAGTAAATGTCTGTTTCTCTGTGTTTACGTGAGTGGGAAAGTGTATATCGCTGTTTGTGTGTGTGTGTGTGTGTGTGTGTGTGTGTGTGTGTGTGTGTGTGTGTGTGTGTGNTCCCATGGGTCCCACACATCACAGCCACAATTCAGACCTAATGGAGCAGCAACGCGAGGGGAGGCTGGTTAGTGCGTGGGGTGGGTGTGTGTGTGTGTGTGTGTGTGTGTGTGTGTGTGTGTGTGTGTGTGTGTGTGTGTGTGTGTGTGTGTGTGTGTCTGTGTGCACATGCACGTTTATGTGTCTTCTTCCGTACTAGTTTGTGGAAAGTTTGTGCGGATGGATGCATTTGTTTGGTTATGAAAATTGCCTCTTGTAATCTTTAAATGATGAGAACGACAAATTTGTAAACTTACACGCAGAATGTTTTGGCCTTTAAGTTGTTAAATTGTGGGGAGAAACAAATAGATCAGTTTCTTCCACAGGATTACAACATTTAAATTTCTGAATTTACTATTATACATATGTATATTGCAAAAAAATAAAATAAAATAATTCTGGATGTATAATAGCCTATAAAAACATGTTCGACCTGCAGTGAAAAATAAACAAAATCTAGGAAAGTTGTTGAAATTTAAACATCCTCTAATCACAAATTTCTTCACCAGATTCAAATGAAATATTTTGTCAATACCAAGTATATTTTGTTGGGTTTGTTGGAACATGCTCAAATTAAATGTTGCTCAAGGACAAACATTACCTGAACACAAATACACACAAAATCACTCTCCAGTAATTGTTGCCGTAACTTTGACAACAGTGACACATTTGGTAGCTTCATCTTCATSTTTTCGTCGACCTCGTTTTATTTATTTGTTTCAAGTTCTTTAATTAAATCATTCAATCACTCTTTCATAGAGACAGATTTAGCTGTTTCCAAATGTTTTTTTAGTCAAATCAACTTCCTACGAGTCAGTTTGTCCGATGTTGCAGCAAAATTTGCACCTTTAGAAAACAGACACCACATTCATTTAATTCAAAGCCAAAGAAAAGCAGCCRTATGGCATAGCAACAACTTTAGCATGTTGTAGGATGTCATTATTGTTTTTTGCTATAGAGAATTATTAAAATGCATCCAGAAAAACTTTTTATTACCTATTTTCATGAAGTTGCCTCAAAGACAATACCTTCTCYGAAAAGAGTTTGCAAACACTTGAAGATTTTTGTCTGCTTTCTCTTGAGGAGGTCTTTTTTTTTACATACAGCAAAGGGAAGCAGACTGTTTTAGCTTAATCCATTTTGAATGTCATGTCTTTATTTATTTGGAGAATGTATAAAATAGGAACATGCATGATGACGAGGCCCAACTGTAGTGTCACTCTTTGTTTTTGTGAGTGCAACCTCAAACTTCCTCCGGCGTTTAGGCCCGCCTGCTCTGCTCCTCAAGTTCCCACGACAAGAAAAGGATAATCAGCTGAGTCCTTCCAGCCGAGCAGCAACAGGTATCATTGTTGCTTCGCTAAAAGCAGCAGGTGTGTAACTCAACCCAAAGCGCATTTGGTAAAGGCAGCAAGGAGGTGAGAGTGATAAGTCATCAACA